GCTAAGCCGGTGAACTTGAATTGTTGGACTTTGATTGCTTTTGACAAAAAATATGAAGAATGAACTTCTTGCTTCGGTACACTAAACGAGTCAACAACTAGCCAACTGATTCGTCAAAGGTGTAGTTTTTTTGTCTCTTTTTCTGTTCTTTTAACAGCGATATCAACTTCATCAACGATTTATTAACCTTATGATCGATCACGTCACTAAAAGTGCAAATACCATACAAATCGTTGATTGACTCACGTCGAGCGTTCGCTCTCACTTACCTTAATATTCTTCACGACAATATCATATTAATAACAATGTTGACGTCAACGTTTTCTTCCAATGCTTGATTTCTATGACACTCAATCGTGCTGTGTCGATTTTACGCTTTCATTGCGCTTCAGGCTGCTCTGCTCTTTAGAAAAAAAAGAAACACCTTTAGCATTTGTTAGAATATTGCGACAGTAATCTTTGAAATTTGCATCTGAAAGGATCTTATGTTGTGATCGATTCTGTCGATAGATCAGTTCTTTTGCCCGAAATCAAGCTCTTATCATTATTTTATCCATTATGGGTGTTTGTCATGATTGCTGACTGGAGTATTTTTCGTTCCAAGTGGGAGCACGTGAAATGAATAATATTCTTTGATGCGTTACGTTCGCATTGAAGAACTTCTTATTCGGATTCAACCCGTCACTGTACCGTGTAGAAAAGTGAGATCGCATTGAGTAGTAACTGTCCAATGGCCGCCACAGCATGGTGCATCATATTTAGAATAGGCTGGTGAAACTTGTGTGTGAAATTCTGAGGAACGGAGCAATTGTTATGGAATATTGACTGCGACTGTGAGGAGGAGGAGGCAATGGGTGATGATGATATGGTGGTGTTGACATCAAATGTGAGAGCAGATGCGTTTTGCATATATTATCACTAAGTGCATTGTTTCAATTCAATTATATTCAAATTTTATTCCATTCTGCATATCAATCGTTTAGAGTCACTATTCATTGTTATAGAAATTATTAAGCATACTTATTGTTGTTAGTGTTTATTGTCGACAACATTTTCAACAGTTCAATCATCACATATCTTCAGATAGAAGCAACATAATCCATTTTCATTCCTCTGAATACATCAATAGACAGTTCAAATGAATTTGTGATCGTTTTGTTAAAGAGCCAAGCGTTTTTTTTTTCATTCAGTGGAAGAATTCAAAAATGACTAGGATCAGTGACTTCATTGTTCCAGTCCAATTGAATTTGTGGTGAAACTGAGTGGAAGAATTTGCCGTTCAACTCACAAATGTGTTTTCGTCAAAAACATTTCTCGGCATTATCTGAATGGTGGTTGATTGATCGGGTAGTATTCATCTAATTTACAGTATTTTTCACTCATTGGAAACAACAAAAAAAAGCGTTCTATTAGCGAATTGTTGATTGAATTTATATGAAGCATAATTTTTGTGGAGTGTGGAATAAGCCATCAATAAAAACAAATTGAAGCGAGCCAATCTGCACGGGATTTGATTGAGAGCGTCGAAATTGACGAGAACGTTTGATTAACATTGTGCGAAAAACGATTAATCGACAAAACCAATTTGAAAATGAAGTGCAGTTCGCAAGAATTGATGCTAAAAAATTTTCCGCTTGTTTCGTGAATTTGCCGAGATTGAAATGTCATTTTCAAGGAAAACATATTTTTGGTTACCTCATTAAAAGAATGTTCCTCTTTGGTTTTTTTTGGCATAAGTTGGGGTTTTCCGAAAAAGAAAAAAGAACTGATGTCTTACTGACAATCAGGAGCCAATTTCAAATGGAATCAGCATGCTGAGGACTTTCCAGTATGTTTGCGTATGCATATCTGTTGATCTCGGTGATCATTTGATCAGCATGATTTCCAGGCACTCAAATACCTTTGCTTATCAAACAGTTTGCTAATCGAAGGTGATTTGTCGCCAATCATTTGTTCAGCCAGCAAAGATAATCCCTCATTGAACTGATAATCCTCTCCCTGCGGATCGCTTGCTTGGAATGACTGTAACAATTGATGAACACATAACATTCCCTCTGATCGAACACAAATCCACGGTGCCGAAGTGTCGAGTGCAATTGCGTCGTCACTTTTTCATACGAAACATTAGTCGATGTAAAGAAATTCAGATTGATTTCTGCATTCGTCTTCAAAAGAAACAAGCCAGCTCGAGTCAACAGTTGCGTTTAATCCCAATCGATCATCAGTGATCAATTGACTGAATCAAACGATTCAGTGCACTTTTTGCGAAGCAGCTTCCGTTACTTCTACAACCAGCAATTTCCACGCGTTTAAGCCAGACTTACTTAGCACCTTCCGCTGATTATTTCATTGATATCGTTAACGCTTGTCAGAAATTCATCAAGTGATCGGGAATAATCTATCAGTGAACAACACACATACCTGATACAAGAGCCATGCGAGTTACTGATCGTGATAAATGGCAGAGATATACTCTCATATTAAGAACTAATCCATCTTGATTGTGCAACAATCATCAATTTACTGTTTTTCTGACGGAGGAAGAGACAAATCATTGTTAGTTGGCGTTTTCGAGCGCTTTTCGTTCGCACTTGCAGCGGATATCGAATCAATTATTGCGTTGAAATGTTGTTGAGTTTTTGAAGTCAAGCATATAATCAATCTATGCCGTGATGCGATCGATGCACAGTGACATTCCAATTCGAATGTGCTGAGTTTCTTTTTGTTAGAAATTCGAAATTGTCATTTGTCGATAAGTGATCAGTGAACGTGTGGTGATCAAATGTGATCAAAATTAAAATGCACTGGATATGATGGATGGAATCTATTTCAGGAATTCAAGAAACACTGATATTAGCAATCAGCAAATCTGAGACATTTGTATGCAGATGGATGACGTTTGGTTATCGAATCAGAACAACAGCAATAAACTGATGATGTTGGGTGCATGCTTACCGAACGATCATCACGGTAATCCGTGGATGTACGGCGCACCAAATCCGCTCGCCACATCCATGCCTATGACCCTGCCAACAATGCTGCC